AGAGAGAGAGAGAGAGAGAGAGAGAGAGAGAGAGAGAGAGAGAGAGAGAACCCCAAAATGTCTCCAACATCTCCTAAAGAAGTAAATATTACTTGTTAATATTGAGACACTGGGAATTAACTTACAATACAAGGTGAAAAAACATCTAAATTAATTAAACGAATGAACCCCCAAAATACTTAACCACTAGCATTCGATACAATAGTTTATCTAAATACTTTAAGTAGAGCGAGTCGTCCTTCAATCACAAAGTGAGCAGTTCGATCCCGGCTTCTTCTGTCCGGGTTGTTTCAGTGGAAGGCGGCAGTGTTCTAGTAGAAAGAACTGGGACATTCTAAAAGGCTTTACCTTTACAGATAAAAGGCTTGTTTTATTATCACATGGAGCTGTCGTCAAAAAACACCCAAATAAAGAATGAACATTCAAAACATTGCAACAAATGCAGAACTTCATTTAGAAATGTTCAAATCTAGTCACGGATTATTTTCTGAGCACTTTGGTTGGTTTTTACATCTATGCAGTGTTGCTTCTTCAGTCGTTTACAGATGTTTGGTGTGTTTCCCCCACAGCTGGTTTGTCACTCTGGAGTGAAGCAGTGTGACTCCTCTGCAGCTCTGCAGGACTGCAACCGCAGCAAGAACAGAAGCTGCTCCATGGTGCCTGGTGAGTCCGACGGCTTTGTCTGCTCAGGAGCCGCAGCGCTTATAGTTAGGATAGGATGCTGGTGTTGAATGTTTAGTTTGTCTCTCCGGCTACAGTTTGTTGAAGATGGATGGGCAGAGACGGTGTTGCATGACTCTGTAACGGTTGTTCTTCTTCTTTCTATCTTTGCAGTTGAGAGGTCACGAGTGCGCCTGTCTACGGCAGCGGGGGAAACGTCCGACTACATTAACGCATCATACGTCACAGTAAGAACAAACGCATTGTGTCCAGGTTTAAATGAGGAGAGAGATATCACAGAGGTCCAGGCTGCTCTTTTAACACACTGTACTCTTGTGCAGCTGTAATATTTCTTCCTTATTGATTATTCATTGCTTGACACAACTGTTGTTTAATGAGTTTAAGACATTAATGGTGAACAGTGGACATAAGTGAAATGTATCATCCTCTTGAGTTTGTAAAAACATGGACATCATTGATACCAAGCCCAGGTTCTGTTCCTGCAGGGTTACAGGCAGAGCAGCGAGTTCATCATTACCCAGAATCCTTTGCCCGGCACCATAAAGGACTTCTGGAGGATGATATGGGACCACAACGCCCAGGTCATCGTGTCGCTGATGGGGACGCCGTCAGGCGAGGTGAGGAGTTTGTGGCTGTGCAAAGTCTGTACTCTTAAAACTTAAAATAATTAGTTAAACATTTTGCGAAATGCACGTCGCTTTGGTTCAGAGAGCTCAGATGGATATCAATACAATGTCTGTGTGTTAAATACAGAGCTGGAGTCAGGGAGTGGTTAGCCTAGCCTGCTCTGTGATGAGGCCAGGTGGCGACCTCCGGTTCTGAAGAGTGAAGCCCACGCAGAAGTGTCTTAAACTTCCATTCTCTCTACCTACTGACCACCAGGGGGCGACTCCTCTGGTTGTATAGAAGTCTATGAGAAAATGACTCTACTTCTCTCTTGATTTATTACCTCAGTAAACATTGTAAACATGAGTTTATGGTCTCAATCTCTAGTTTCAAGTCTTCTTCAATACAGCATGATGTTCATTTAGTACATTATGGTCCATTTAGAGTCACACAGACCATAAAGCAGGGGATGCTTTGGCCCTTTTGCATCACTTGTGGTTGCAAAAAAGCCAAGATGGCGGTTGCCGTAATCCATGATGGCGACGGCCAAAACGAGAAAGTCGAGGCTCATTCTAAGGTAACGATAATGCAACAATTCATATTTTCAGGTACTTATACACCAAAGAAAACATACTTAATAATATGATATTTCATCTCTGCTAACGATCTCCCTAAATGCTACATACTGTAGCTTTTAAACAATCGAGTCAGTGAATTCAAAAGTCTCTGTGCTGAATTTGTATCTGGTTTCACTTGTTAACAAACCTTTAAATGGAGGCTACCATCTTGAAATAATGCGGGAACACTCCAAAGTTGGAATAAGTGGAGTTTTTCCCATTTTGCCGACATGGCATCAATGCAGCATTAACATGCAGACATGAGGTTGATATCCGCTCTCAGAAAAAAAAGCAAATAATAGAGTTTCTGAAACTTTTAAACTATTCATTGAGGATTCACAAAAGCATGTTCGCTCAGAATTCTCTGATGTATAACAAGATTACAAGTCGGCGTAGATACAGATTTCAAACTGTCGTGTTGCATCAAAGAGTAAACGTCCGCTGACTTCCTGTGTTGTTAGACGCCCAAGGAGGAGGCGGAGCTGTGTGTCGTCTGGCCCCGTAAAGGGCAGCCAATCAGCTACGAGATGTTCACCGTCACCCAGAAGAGTGAGAATCATATCTGTCTGACAAACGAGGACATGCTGGTGGTCCAGGACTACGTGCTGGAAGCTACACAGGTTAGTGCGACCTGGAACATGACAGCTTCACAAAAAGCATGGTCCTAAATGAATAGCTTTTAGTATCTATTTATGTAGCTCGTTTTAATTTGTCGAGGGTTTGAGTTATCTGTCTCCAGGTTTCTGCCTCCACTCCACTTATAACATTCTGGTCCAAGATATAAGAATACATATTAGCTCTGATCCCATTCTTGTTCACCAGAGGATGAATCCAATGGACCCCATGACGTAACCTCTAATGCAGAGGTTCTCAAAGTTTTGATGACTGAGGGCCAATTTAGTGATCCAGCATATGATTGAGGGCCGCACGGCAGAAGTGCACGCATAAGTTGTCTGAGTTGTCCAACAAAATCGCTCAGTTAAGATAACGGCAATATATTTTTTTAATTACTTTATTATTGCATACTATAGTATGACATTTTATGGTATACAATATTATGACGTTTTAAGGACCTTATTATGACAAACTGTAAAAAGACATTTTAATGTTTTTTTTATTTTTTATGATAAACACTTTTTTTAAACAAATTAAACAAAAAGATAAACAAATTTCAACATACTTTATTATGACTTTTACTGATGTTTTTCCACATGCTATAACTTTTTCATGACTTTTCTGACATGCTATACTACTTTTCTTTTACATACTATACTATTACTTTATGACCTTTTTCAACATACCATAGTATGAATACTTTTCATATGTTTCACAATACTATACTACGACTTTTTAACATTCGATACTATATTTATTTGGGACATTTTTTGCCATACTATACTATGAGAGTTTTATGTCGTCCTGATCGAGCAATAATGACACAATTAAGTGTTTAAATGTGCAAGTGTCTGAATACTTTCTGAAGCCATTGTGTATTATTTGAGAGTCGTATTGTTGATGGGATTATTAGTTATTGCACAGTATAAACCCATAAATAACTTTAAAGGCCTCTCTTTGTTTGGAGATGTTAGAGGACAAAATGGTACTCTCTGATTGGCTGTGACAGATGTCTGGTCTCGTTCTCTCTTATCTTGACAGGACGATTATGTTTTGGAGGTGAAACACTTCCGAGCCTCCCGCTGGCCAAATCCAGACAGTCCCATCAGCAACACCTTCGAGCTCCTCAACCTGGTGAAAGAGGAGAGCACCACCAAGGACGGCCCCATTGTGGTCCACGATGAGTAAGACCACAAGAAAAACATTTGCCACAAGAAAAACAACATTTTGAGGGATTCTCTGCTCTGAATGACATTATCTCACAGTGAAAGTTTTTTCTTCTAGTGTTGGTGGAGTCACAGCAGGAACGTTCTGCGCTCTGTCATCTCTAACTCGTCAGCTGGAGGCCGAAGGTTCGGTCGACGTCTTCCAAGTGGCCAAGCTGACGAACCTCATGAGACCAGGCATCTTCAGCGACATCGTAAGACTGGCTTTTGTCTCACAATATGCTGATGATAATGTAATGTATATTACACTGCTTCTGTGACCAAACACTAGGTTCATTTTAGCCTATTACAACGTGGGTGATATTTGTCAAGTTAACAGCTGAGATCTTGTTTGATTATTAATAAGAGTAAAGTCTGACACGCCAAGAATCAGTCATACGATAAGTCGGTTTCCTTATTTGGAAGAGAAATCTATTTGACACCATCGAATACCAGGATCTTAAATACGTCTAAATATAACAATTGGTTACCTGTCGTTGTTTTACAGGAGCAGTACCAGTTCCTGTACAAAGCAATGTTGAGTCTCATCGGGACGCAAGAAGATGAGAAAACCCTCCAGTCCTCAGACAACAACGGCACCATTGTGGTGGGAACCGCCAGCACTGCAGAGAGCCTTGAATCCCTGGTGTAACCTGCCCCCCCACCCCCACAAAGAACTTGTTTAACTTTTACAAATGAGCAACAGCATTCTGTCCCTCCACTTCAATCACCAACAGAGCTTCTCCTGATGCCAGACTCATGCTACAACTACTAAATAGAAATCCTCAGCATTCAGGAGGACTCCGTGTGGTAGTTTGTACTGAATGAGGTTTTTTCTCCACTGGATCTGGATCTGGATCTGCCTGCGGTTTTGTAATGTGTGCCTTTTTGTATTTTTCATTCTGTACTTCTAACTTTGATACAAGCTGTAGACTAACTGTCCACTGTTTTAACGCTGTACTGCCCTGACACGTTTCACTTAACTAACTTAACTTTTCCTAAACCTTTGTATTTATTGGCACTGAGCCAAATGGGGGAGGATAAAAAAGGGAAAAAGCATCTTTCTACATCAAATGAGATATTTTGTTAGCTTGTCTTTGATAGAACTCCTGCACTGAACTCCTTTCTGTAAATACCATCGCAACGGTAACAGCAGTTTGCTATTGCAGTCAAATATAAAATAAGGGCCTGGAATAATAAAAAATAATAATCTAATGTAAATAATATTATAGTAATCAACTTGGACCAAATTTCTATTTATACTTTTAGATTTTTATATTTGACCATTTTTAGTGCATTCAAATGTTGTGGTTTAATTCTAATTGCTTAGTTGGAGAACATTAATGCTTTTATATTCTGGATTTTGTAACAGACTAAATGTGATGCATGGGGTAGACTGACATGTTTGTTTTTTAGCTGGACATGAAACACTGCTGGATTATTAGCTAGAGGATTAAATAAGAGAAAGAACACCAAAGAAGGAGCCGTTTGAAATGTTTTTGTTACTGTGTGCATAACTCCACGCACGCACGCACACGCACACACAGTGCAGTCTGTTAAGAAAAACCAGCCAATAATGCTTTTACTATTTTTCTTTAGTTATATAAAGCTTCATCCTTCATAGGTATGGGACACTTAGTTTTAATTTTATTCTTTAAAGTTTCTCAGGCTGCCCATTAGTTTGATATTTGTGTGTACAATAGTGTTTTTTGTCCTGCAGGGATAAAAAACATCAAAATATGGCATCAACAGGGCTCAGCCTGTGGGGACCATGAATATCCACAAGACATTTCGTAAGAATGGTAGCCAACGGGATTTTTCATATCACGATAACAAAAGGTAAACAAAAAGTAAAACGTGACTCCAAGCAGGACGACAAAGAGGCAATCAAAAATTGCCTGAAAAAGCGGGATACATGAATTTACATTTCTGGGCTTTAGCTGATGCGTTTACTCAAGAGTGACTTACAGACGCAGAATGAGCCTCACGGTCTACCAACAGGAAGGAGGTCAGAGGTCACGACGACAAGACAAAAGATGGAGCAGACGCCCATGTGAGCCTGACAGGAGAGAGGTGTTAAAGACACAAACGCAGAAATAGAGAAAATAAAGATGTGGCTCTGATGAAAACCAAGTGTTGTCCAGCCTGTGGATTATACATTTTCCCTTTATGGAGTCATGCTTTAATCCCTCCGCTGAACTGGTTATTCCAATTGATTTCCCATGTCTTAATCCGGGCTAAGACTCAAGAAACGTGCCTTTTCAGGACAGAAAATAGGTCAAGTGTCCCAGACGTCATCTTGACCGGCCGCCGTATCCACACCTTCATTTGCATTTTTGACTTCTCATAATTACATGCCCAATTATCCCCTGCTTGGTGGCCTCATTTGCATGGCTGCCTCCAAATTGAGTGGAAGCAAACAGGCTGATTGTCTTTCTTCTAGAGGCTGAGAAGTCTTCAGAACAGAATCCCTGGAGTCCAATATTTGACTATTGCTTGAATCTGAACGATAGAGATACAGTGGTGAAGGAAGTACGTTTAGTAAAATACTACAGTGCAAATGTACTCCATTACATGTGAAAGTTCTGTACTTAAGTATTATAAGCAAAATGCACTTTGAATCACATGTACTATTGGTCTGTTAAATCTACAGTTTGCCTATAAAATATCAATCTGAAGTAACTAAGAGTTGTCACATAAATGTCAAATCAGCAAAATAATTACAGGAGCTTCAAGGATGTTTAAAAAGTTACTAAAAGCATGATTTATGAAAAGCTTGAAAAGGTTCAGTTTGCCCAAATACCTACTAATAAAATAAACATTCCACTTACCTTTACCTGTATGGAGGCTGCAACGTGCCAACCGTGTAATTAAATACTTTGTTTCATTACAATTAATTAATAAATTGATACAATAAAAAAACTTTACTATAAACTATTAAATTGCATCGGCATTGAAGAGATACTAAATAATATGATTATTACATTTGCAATAGCTATTTCTGTATCTAAGTCATAAAAGTAGAAGAAAGAATGTAACAGAATTTGTTTTATTCATATAACATTTTTAGAAAGCAAAATGTTCGATCAAAACAAGCTTTTACAGACAAATGAGTGGCGTCAATGTCAACTGAAACATTAAGGACAAAAAAATGGTTTCACCAGGCGGTAAATAAAACCAATACTTTTATCGCCAACATGTTAGTGTTGCTCTCTTTTGCCCACAACATGTGTAGTTTCATCTGAATTTACCAGTCTTTGTGTCATGAGATACAAACCTATAAATCTATCCAACACGCTGCCGTTTAAAACCTTCTGGATGCCCACATATAAACTACATTAAGTATACATATATGAATGCATTACTTTAAAAAATATATCTCAGGTACTCGTAAAATATCTCTCTCTGGGTATTTGTTTAAAGCATTTAACAAACCGTTTACAAGGTGACCACATCCTCCACAAAAAATGAAATAAATATTGCTCATGTGGAAGACAAATCCTAGAGTCTGGGAAACTTTAGGTTCCAGAAATACAGAATTCATCTTTTAAAACAACTCAAATCAAATGTTCTACCTCAGAGCTCCACATACGCCGCCGTTTCAGCTACAGAATCTAGATCATGAGTTAATGAACAATATTCTAAAGATAACATTTCTAGTGGTCGCATATATTTTTTACTTTCTGTAACATTTTTAAGAACTTTCTAAATGTTCAGATTGGTTCACAGACTGACAACATTAGCTTCACAGACTGAAGCTAACGTTAGCTTCACAGACTGACAAGACTAGCTGAAGTTAGCATGACAGACAAAGGACATCAGCTAACAGTACATTTTTGTACTATAGCTCACATTGTTGAGCTTTTTTCACTTTAAATAAGCTACCCTGCCTCAAGATAGAGGGCTTTATGTCTTCATTGTGACTAAAGTTTGTTGGGATAAGCTTTGAAGCTTTGGAACTGTTACGAGATTATGTCATATTTTAAATCGATCAGATGGCGAAAGTTTTCGTGTTTTGTCAAACCAGGTAAAAACCGGTGCTCTCTTTAGCACAGTGCAGTTTTGATAAAATCATTATGATGTTAAGAATCAGACATTTTTGAATCCTCCACATGCGGTCTTTAGCATTTTTGAAATGATGGTACCGCTTAATTAAACTATTACTTCTGGATAACGAGCTGTAGAAGCTGAACAAAATCTATTAAGTGGTGATCATTAGATTCTGATTTAATACTTTTGGAGTTGTATATTTAAAGTGCATTATAAATATTGTTTTAGTATTACAATACATCTTTGAGATATTGAGACTGTGAGGTAATCATATTGCATACATGTGTTAGTTTCTGACTAACAAAATAAAACGATTAACTCATGAACCTGTTCCAACCAGCTGAACATAATCATTCCCAGCTGCTCTTAGCTTCATTAGCGTTCACTCTGAACGGCTTCATGATGTAATGTCCTGAGAATGGGAGCTGTTAACAGTACTCTGTGGTTCATTTCCATCACGGCTTTGAAGAAAGCCAGTTAGTGACTACGGTGATGTTTTGTTGTTGAAGGTCTGTGCAGTATTGAGCTGGGTTTGTATGGGATTTAGAATTAATGCAGAAATCAGAACTTGCGATCAGCAAATGGTTTTTATGTTGGATGTCAGAATTTACTATCAAGTCTCCAGGAATAGTTTACCAGCAAGAGTTTCTACAGTAGTTTGACCTGATTAATGAGACAATGTTTGTGCTTTTAAACGCCTAAACTGTTGGACCACTCCAGCTTTTAAACATCTTCACATAAGAACCTTTCTCTGACACAATAGACAAACTCAGAGTGTTGATATTAAACTGCAGATTAATGAATATGATCTGAGCTGCTGCCTTTTACTGCTTCTGACCTAAAACTTACAAACAGCTTTAAAACATCACGAAATTATTCTAACATTTAATTTGAACACAATTAAATATTACTTCTGGGGATTGAAACATTTGACCTTTTTGGCTTTTTTTCCCTTCAACCTTTCGACCGATCCAGTTTGGATAAAGTCGGTAAAGAGGCAGTTGATTGCATGTGTTTTTATTTTAATAAATGTTCTCTGGGGTTTGTTGAACATTAATCATAGTGATTACTGATCTCTCTGGAGGCTCGAGCTTTTACTCCTGCAGGGTGCTCTTGGACATGAAGTGAAGTCCTTCCTCCTTCAGGCAGGCCAGCGCCGGCCCGTAGATGTCCTTCGTCATCGGCACCACGAGTCCCTTTGTAATGATTTCACCTGCAGAAAGAAATAAAATGCATGCACAACTTTTTGGCATTTAATTTTTACTTAAATTCTTGAGACAGAAACAATCTTCCAGACGGACGTCACTAACCATCGAGGACCATGCGGGCAGCAATGGCTGCTGGGTAACCCACAGTCTTGGCCATGGCGGAGAAGCCGCTGGGGTCGCCGTACACCGCCAGACTGATGTGTTTGGTCTCCAGCTCGCCGGTCGGGTGGCGAAGCCCGATGTCGTTCCTCATGATGATCATGTCGCGCTCGGACTTATCTAACCAAGGGAAAGAAGCCATTAGTGGTTAATGTACTGGTTTATAATAATAATAATAATAACTTTATTTATACAGCACCTTTTAAAAACAGAGGTTACAAAGTGCAAACTAAGGTAAAAGTTAAACCATGATAAATAAATGATAAATAGGAAAACTGAACAGAGAGCCGATGAAGAGAAGCCAGGATTGGGGGTGATGTGATGTCGTCTGTTAAAGTGGCATTACATGTAGTACTTGTTTCTAAGTAATAAAATGTGCCTCACCGAAGGATAATTTAGCTTCCAGGTGTTTAGCCAGAGCGGCCAGAACGCTGTCGGCATGAACCACCGACTCGTCGCTCAGCATCCCAAACCTGAACACACAGAGACAAATAAATGACTTTTTTCCTCACAATGGATAACCTTCACAAAGCAGTTTCAAAGGGTTTAAAAAGAGGAAATGACTCCGCTTTAACACCCCGGCGGCGTTCGGAGCAGCAGCCCACACATCCTTGGCTAAGTCTAAAGAGATGAGCAGCTGCTTTGTGTCGCTGCGCTGCTGGTGAATTGAATAAATGAACAACAAGTCATTCAATTTGAACCTAGAGCTTCGTTTGGCTTTTTACTCTCTTTTTTTTTAACTGCACAGATTGGAATGTTTCCAGCGGTTCACTTTTACTGTCGGAGGAATTCACGTTTCAATGCCAGCCGAGGCCCCTCATTCCGCCCTCGGAGGCAGAACAATGGTGGCACGGGGGCCTTGGTCTGAAGAGACCTTTTCGAAAAAAGTTGGTTTAAACTGAAGAGCGTGCGCGCTACACCACTTCAAAAAAAAGAGGGGGGAAGTGGAAAAGTGTGCAGAAGAGGAGCAGCCTCTGACTTGTTCTCAGCCCGCCATCATTCCACAGCACCAACGCTAACTTTGAAGAGCAACAGACATCAGCAATCTGCCGGCGAGAAGCACGGACAAGATGGACATCCAAAGAACTTACGCCGGATTTAGAACCACAGTGTTTCCCCATAGTTGACCAAATTATGAATTACTAATTCGAATCCACCGTCCACCACCACATGGAGAAGCATCAGGTACCTTTCAGAATACTTCTCGCTTTTAAAGCTGGTTCGTCTGTGACTCTTGTTATTTACTTCTTCCAAAAAGTTAGTAAAATATCACCAGGATCACATAAGGTTTTTATTGAAACTAAATTATGACTGGTGTGTTATCTGCATGCCAAATTGATCAGAGCACACAAGGCTAAACTGCCTCCTAGAGATCTATATGACCGGCTACCGACGAGCATAAAACACGCCGGGGCTACGGCAAAGAATACGGACAACAATGATAATCTGTGACACAATTTACCAGACAACCTGGAAACATCAAACCTCTTTTTTTCCTCTTTAAGCTCTGCCTTTGTACGACTGACTCTCCAGATGTTCCATGACATAACAGGAGATTCCATTGATGGTATTGAAGCTTAACATTTAGTTAGTATATTTAGAAGTACAGAGGGAAACTGTTAGACATTTCCCAATCCTAAATCCTAAACCCTAAATAGTTTTCAGTCTCTCACCATCTCAGGGTGTCCATCACAAAGTCGTCTTTTCCGATGCGTTCAAATACGGTTTCTTCAAAGGCGTCGTGGGAAACAGAAGAGGACAATCCCATCAGCTTACAGAGGAGCGCTTTCTGTAGAGAAGACATATCACAGTTTCTCTTTTTACTGGAGCTCCTCCATACATACATTTAAAACATGTTACAACATATATAAAATCTCCTAAAGCTCCTAGGTGGGTCTCCTAGCTCCTAAACTGTCTCCCTAAGATCCCTTTTGCCTCCTAGAATGTCTCCTAAAGATCTCCTTTAGCTCCTACACTGTTTCATAAAGCTCCTCTTTAGCTCCTAGCATGTCTCCTAGCTCCTCTTTAGCTCCTACACTGGGTCTTATCATCATCTCCTTAACTGTCTCCTACTCCTCTCTTTATACATGGAGATTAGACACTTTTAAAAATGGCTTAACGAGGCTCCGGGGCAACATTTTTCTTTGCATCTCGTTTCCAGATAGAAAAGATATTCAAGAGTGTTTTCAGAAACACAAGTGGCGGGATGTAAAATAGCAAATCGTGCTTTGATTAATGAAAATGCAGCTGTGTGTTGCTCTTTCATCTCAAAGGGATCAGAGACGACAAACATTCTGCTGTAAACTCTCATCAGTGTGGGAGAGCCTTGGCTCACTGCAGCCTTGATGTTGACAAGCAGCTATTGACAGTAATAGACTCTTCAGCAAACCCACTTCCACAGACGCTTCAAGTGGAAGAGCTGCAAAACTGTTTTCTGAAACTTAATGACAGACTGGAGAAAGAAGCACACTCTGTACACACAATGGATCCTCAGCGGAGGTTCTTACCCAGGACACAGGGCATGAAGTAGGCTTCAGGATGGGACAGGGCTCGCTGTTGATCAGACCCAGTTTGACAAACCCACTCATGGCCTTTGAGAAGCCCTTTGGGACAAGCCAAGATTCACAATGAACACATTTACAGGGACACAACATACTTCCACTTCACTACATTTGTCTGACAGCTTTAGTTACTATTTAAATAACAGTTTTTCATCCCCTTCCTGTTCAGGTGAAAACCACGTATCTCCAGATGTGTTGATGTTGAATGTTTGTGATAAACTGAAGGATGAAGTGTTCCTTTATGTGTTG